CCCCAAAACCCCAAAACCCCAAAACCCCAAAATTTGCCAAAAAGTTTAGATAATTAAATATTTTCACTTATTTTAAAGGGAAATTTCTTGGGAAAATGAAGATTTTAGTATGAATTTTAGTGGTTTTGAGCCTTGGAGTTCTACCAGGATGTGGAGAGGGAGAAGAGAGGTTTGGGAGGAGGGAGGAAGGTTGGGGATTTGAGGCAGAGGATTATGATGCAGGAAGGATTTTATTAGAGCCATATGGGTCATTGTTTTATGCCCTGATTAGGTCAAGGATGGACCCTAGTAATGATCCTTTTGTGATATGGCTCAATGGAGGTCCAGGAAGTTCATCTATGTTCGGCTTGCTTATGGAAAATGGACCTTGGAAATTAGTAAATGATGGAGATCTTGAGAGAAATGAGTACTCATGGAATAATATTGCCAATATACTCTATGTTGACCAACCCTTTGGCACTGGATTTAGCACTGTATCAAGCTCGGAATATTTAGTCAAGAATGAAAATGAAGCCGCTGTTTATTTTCATAGATTTTTAGTATCTTTTATAGAGAAATTCCCAGAATATAAGCATAGACCTCTGTATCTTACAGGCGAAAGTTATGCGGGAAGATATATTCCAGCAATATCTAACGAAATCATCAAACAAAATTATTCTACCATCAATCTGGTTGGATGAGCAATAGGAAATGGAAACTTTGATCCAATTGTGCAAATCCCTGAGCTTTCTGTTTATGCTCTTGAGAATGATTTAATTACAAAGGACCAAGCTGATAAAACTTTAATTGAACATTTGGAACGATTAAAATTAAACCGAGGAGACAGAATAAGATGATATGAAAATTATTTTTGGCAAGTTTGGGAACTTGTATTCTCTCATAGAGCATTAAACGGATATGACATCAGAACTTCTTCTACAAAATGGAATGTTCAAGAGCTGACGAATTTTTTTAATAATGAAAGTATACAAAAAAGATTAAACGTGTATCAAAGTGAATGGGTCTTAGTCTCACAGATGGTGCATAGTCAATTTGATATGTTTGATACAACTAAAATTTCGTCAAATGTGGAGATAGGGTTGAGTAAAGGCATCCGGTATTTTATCTTTGCAGGAGATAAAGATTTAAATTGTAATTGGAGAGGTATTGAAGCCTGGTCTAATTCCATCGGATTTGACTGTCAGGACACATTCACCTCTTCCAGATACCAGAAATGGAATGTTGATGGTGAAGAAGCCGGAGAGTTCAAGCACCATGACAATTTCACTTTCTTGAGAGTGTACGAGGCAGGACACATGGTCCCAATGGATCAGCCAAAGAGATCATTGGCTATGCTCCAGAGCTTCATTAAAAATGATTTTAAAGATATTATTTAATATTTTTCTTAACATTCAAACTTTGATATCTCTTTGGGGTTTTGGGGTTTTGGGGTTTTGGGGTTTTGGGG